AGCCGTCTTCAACAACGGCCACGTCGACGGCAACAACGACGCCGCCAAAGACGATCCCCTCGGAAAGATCCGAATCCGGCTCTCGACGCTGGAGATTGACCGTGTCTACACTCACTTCTATCCTTTGCTAGCGGTGCATCCTTCCGGGTTGAAGAAGACCGGCGAGCTGCATCTGGGCCTCCGATTCACATGCACGTCGTGGCTGAACATGTTCTTCTTGTACGTCAAGCCTCTGTATCCCAAGATGCACTACATGCAGCCCATCCCGTTCAAGCAGATGCAGTACCTCCGCTACCAGGCGAAGCAGACAGTGGCAGCGAAGCTGGCCCGGGCTGAGCCGCCGCTGGGGAGAGATGTGGTCGCATATATCCTCGACGATGCTTCCAACACGTTCAGCCTGAGGAAGGGCAAGACCAATTGGCATCGGATCAGGATGCTGTTCTCCGACGTCCAGGCCTACCTGCAATGGTTCGACGCTGTCCGGAGTTGGACCAGGCCGGCGGTGACCACTCTCGTCCTCCTGCTCTTCTGCGTCGTTGCCTGGACGCCGTCCCTGATCCTTCCCTCCGTATTCCTCCACCTGTTCATCGTGGGCGCCTGGAATTCCCGGCGTCGCCCGCGCCACCCGCCGCACTTGGACACGAATCTGTCGTTCGCCGAGTCGGCCGTCCCAGACGAGCTCGACGAGGAGCTAGATAGTTACCCGTCGACGAGGACGAACGAGATGGTCATGAGCAGGTACGACCGGCTGAGGGTGGTCGCCAGTAGGGTGCAGTCGGTGGTGGCAGATCTGGCCAACCACGCGGAGAGGATACAGGCCTTGCTGAGCTGGAGGGATCCCCGGGCGACGGCCATCTTCGTAGTATTTGCCATCAGAATGGCTGCAGTCTTCTATTTCCTGCCGTTCCAGTTGGTGGTGATGCTCCTGGGGCTGTACTTCATGCGCCACCCCAAGTTCCGGAGCAAGAGGCCCTCGACGGCCTATAACTTCTTCCGGAGGCTGCCGAGCAACGCCGATACATTTCTGTAAACAAATCGCATGTGGAAACACACGCAATGGTGTGCGCTCGTCATAGCAATCAGTGTTGTTTTGTACTGGGGAAGACGAAGAAAGTGTCCGAAGGCTGTACGTGTTCTGGTAATGTCATCCTCTCTTTTCATGTGAAATAACACCAATTCATCATCATGTGGTCGATGACCGCTCAAACACATACTTATATGTCATTTAGAGGGATATCACAGGAATTACAGATATAAATTTATGTTACATGGTAAAAATTTCAGTAAGTCGTGTGATATCCCTATGGTTGACCATTTTGACAACACGTTGGAGGTCAAACCAAATTACTTAGCATGGTTGGCAGTTGCCGTATCCAAATTGACCATGATCAATGTCACCGCCCATGCTAATAATCATTGCTCCTATTGAAGAGGGTCTCGTTTCCTTCCTTCTTCGACCGCCTCGCCTATCGACCGACTCCGAAGGTTAAAGCGAGAAGAAGAGAAGAGCGAACAAGAGAAGAAGAGTTGCCAGAAGAGCCGTGCGAATCCTTGTTTTTGATATGATGCAACCCTTGGTGGTGCCGAATCCCTCTCCTTGTACCGAAGCCGCCTCCTCTTCTGCTGTCGCGGCCTTCTTACCCTTCCGTCCGCTCTGTTCTAAGGTCTCCTTTCTCTTGACTTCTTATTTTTTCTGAGGGTTCCCAGCCTTCTATGAATCACTCGGGTTTGCTCTGTGAATTACAGGAATCGGCCTTTCGGGGAACCAGAATTCCGATCGAGACGCGTGGATTTCGGTCGCAGAGGGCTTCCTCTTTTCGTTGGATTACCAGATCTAGGAGGCCACCTGGTGAGCCTTTCGACGTCTTTAATTGTTGTTCTTGTTTGGTTCCTATTATGTTAGACAAAGGGGGGTGAGATGAAGTGCTTCCCTTGATGACTGCCATAGGAGATCTATTGGTTCGAGGCATAAGTATTTTATGGCTACCATATCCTTGATATTAACTACTGTTCTATTGATGGGAAAACTGGCATATATGATATCCATCTGAAATGTGTTGCCATAAATGATAAAGGAGAACTTGCTGAACGATGTAGAGTGTGAGAGAAAACAAAACTTCTTCACTTTATCAAAGGCCCGGAAAAGGTTGGGTAGCAATCCGATGGATGAACGGTGCTATCAGTATCTTTTTCATTTATATTGAAGCCATATACTCACTGGACAAGCCACAAAATAAGACTACATCGACATATAGAGAGAATCTTTCAGGGTCAAGTTCATATTATCTTGGGATCATATCTTTCCAAGCATGGTTAACTGTATTTGAGGTTGCAATGTTGCACCAATGTCTTTGTATTGATCGTGCTATAAGGGTTCTTCATATGTTAGTAGAACTCAAGAATTCAACTGTAAAGGATGCTTAATTTTGACCTACTTTCTATGGTTTTGAAAAAGCAATGGAAAAGGATGCTTCTATTTTCCACTATTTTTAGTTGATTTATGTGAGCTTAATAGTTCTTTCTTTCTTTGTTACAGTGGTTAAATCAATTGCTACTCAAGACCCATTGGTTGATTTGCCCCTAACTGCTGAAAATGTCGAGTCAGTATTGGATGAAGTGCGACCATATCTTATCGCTGATGGAGGAAACGTAGCACTTCATGAGATAGATGGAAATATTGTAAGACTAAAACTGCAAGGAGCGTGTGGGTCTTGTCCAAGTTCTGTAATGACGATGAAGATGGGCATCGAGCGTCGGTTAATGGAAAAAATTCCAGAAATAGTTGCAGTGGAACCAATCACCGACCAAGAGACAGGGCTTCAACTGAATGAAGAAAACATAGAGAAGGTAACCAATGGCAAAATAATTATCATGTTAAAATATGATTTTACCTTTGTAATTTTAGATTTTGGATGTGGATACTCTTCTTTCTTATCATGCTTGTGGCTATAAAGAGTTTGTTTTTTTTTATTAGTTCCACAATTGTGGTAAATATCCAGACTTAGGGTTGAAATAATTACCATCTACTTTTTAGCAGTGACAGATTTCCTTATTTTACCTTGTCATGGGATTGTTTTGATGTTCTGTGAGAAATCATTCCTCATGTACCTATTTTTTCATTATTCTCGATTTTCAGATCTTAAAATGTCTACGGTAGCTACCATGAGAATGTAATTGATTGAAGACGCACGAACCAAACCAGTGCTATCCTTCTTTGTTCCATCTGTTTAAATGGTTACTTTGTCTAAGTGAAACATGGTGTGGGTCCCATGAACATACACATGCACCCAATAGACTAAGTCATCATAATAATAGCTTAAAAGCAAGGATTATGCATCATGATATGCATAATGCATAAAATTATTCTGTGTAATGCATCATGATATGCATATATGCATGTGTTGTCATCATTTCATAATCTCAATTATCTATCTTATGCATATGATGTGACACTACCTGGAACACGTCAATGGCGAAATTTGATCGATATGGGCTTTATATTTCTTGGAAGCTAAAACTAAGGAGTTTGATCCTCCTATACCTATATTTTCTATAGCTGCACAAGACAAGCAGGGAGAGCAAAGTATTGCATTTTTTTATAATTTATGATGTTGATATTACTTAAATATGCCTGACTATGATTCGATTTATTTTACAAAATAAGGATATTACTATTTTTTTTTTTATGCTTGAGGTTCTCTACATCAATGAACTTTATTGGGTTAGTCAGTCCAACCTGATTTATTTGAGACTGGATTAACATTTTAATATAACTGAACCTGTCTTAAGGTCAGTTCACAGTTTTCTGATCGAACTAGCGAGTCCTTCCCAGTTCTGATAATTTTAATTCAAGCAAATCGAAGTTCATGTGGGAACCCCTTGTATATCATTTTCTGATGATTTGTTTCTAGCTGAGACTTGGTTTCATAAAAAGTTGATATCCCCTCTGCACTACAATTTTTGTTGAATTGGTGGAGGATGCTTATTTGCCTTTTTTTTTTCTGAATTTACCTGCTTCGACTTTGTTCTTGTGGCTTTTTTTCACCACTAATGCATGTGATATTATACCATAACTGTTCTGAAATCTTGGCAGCTTGGATATTACCATTTCTATGTGTGATTACAAAAAAAGAAGCATGAATGAAAACCCTGACGCTCGCCTTTGGTTCCATTGTTAGGTACTCGACGAGATAAGGCCATACCTTGCTGGAACCGGTGGCGGTGAGCTTGAGCTAGTCAAAATTGAGGAGCCTATCGTGAAGGTTCGACTAACAGGCCAAGCTGCCGGCATCATGACAGTTCGAGTGGCAGTAACACAGAAGCTGCGAGAAAAGATACCTGCCATTGCGGCTGTTCAGCTTTTATCGTAGGTTTATCGAAAGACACTTTCTGTTCATTCGATGATAGAATAAAACATTGTATATGAATAATTTTACTTTTTTTACAAAAGTTCAAAGTCATCATCATTTTCGGAAGCGTTATGGTTAAAATGAGGAATCAAATGGTGCCATAGATTTATGCAATATTGATATTACTCATTCTGACATTTCATCCATTTGTGTTGTATGAATTTTGAAATAACCAATTGGCTACAATGATGCTGTGTAAAATTTAAACCTACATTACATCATCTGGCAAATTTATGAGGCACCATTTTCCTACAATTAATTTATTGTGTACATTAGTTTCAGTACTGCATGCAGAGATATGTGACTTCACCTGCATCCCAACCTCTTCATATAGCAATATAGCCATCACAGTGCACCTGAACTAAGAATTTATGGTATGGAAAACATGTCTTTCTTTGACCAACAGATCGATCGTAGAATGGTTTCTTATGATACCAATGAATGCCTTGTTATTTGAAAGCAATCGCATTGGGATCCTCTCCTAAATTAAGATTTCGTGCAATTGATCTACGTGTAAAAATAGCCAGCCGTCAGATTTTACACGTGTTTGGAGATCGTTCGCCCCGCACGATGTGGTACACCCCGTTCCAGCTGCACGAGAACTTCAAATGGGAATACAAATCTGCCCTTCCATTCGCACCACCGGCGAATTTGCGAAGCGAAAACGGTTGCGAGGGGGCCGGGCGGTGACCTGGTGTCCCCGGTGTCACCAACCGTGTCTCCGGCCCGCAATCCCGTCCAGGCTCGCTCGCTCCTTCTCCCCCAAACAACCCCATAACCCCGCCTCCGCCACGTGCTGCTGCCGGTCCTAACCACCCCCGCCTCTCTCTCTCTCTCTCATACCTCCTCTCCCCCCCGTGGTTTTGGTTTCTTCGTCTCTCTCTGTCTCTCTCTATTTGCCATTGATGTAAGCGTGCCGCCTCTCCGCCGCCCGCCGGCGCTTCTGTCACCGCTCGTGTTCTTGTTGTTGATTCTAATCTTTGATTCGAAAGCTTCGTCATGGATCTTACCAACTTCGAATCGAGCCTATCCCTGGCGTTACACACCGATCCTTCTCCTTCGTCGCAGCCCTCCTACCGTGCCCCGATCGCGGACGACTCGGTGCACCTTCTGCGCGATGCCTACCTCCGGGACTCGTTGCACAACCGGCCGATCCCCTTGCAGCTCCTGGACCAGCTGGCAGAGACCGGCGGGTTCGGATACGTGGACGTGGACACGAACCTCGGGGAGGAGTCTGACGAGGTGGAGCAGGAGGGGAAGGAAGTCAGGATCTTGGGTTACTCGATGTGCATCAAGAGGCAGAGGAGATGGGAGTCGCCCTCTTCTTGCTCGTCGTCGTCGGTGCTCCCCTCGAAGAGGACCAAGGTGGAACCTGATCTCGAGTTACGGAGGGAATACATATTGTCCTGGGGAAACCAGCCCTTATCTGTTGCCGACCCCGATATCTTTGAGATCATGGAGAAGGAGCGGCGGCGGCAGGTGTTGGGGATTGAGCTTGTTGCATCTGAGAACTTTGTGTGCCAGGGTGTGCTCGACGCCCTTGGCAGCCATTTGACAAACAAGTACTCTGAGGGGTTTCCAGGTGCTCGATACTATGGTGGGAACAAGTACATAGATCAGATTGAATGGCTATGTCATGACCGTGCCCTCAAAGCATTCGATCTCGATCCTGGGTGCTGGGGTGTGAATGTCCAGCCTTACTCTTGCACCTCAGCCAATTTTGCGGTCTACACAGGACTATTGCTCCCTAAGGATCGAATTATGGGGTTGGATTCACCTTCTGGTGGTCACGTCAGTCATGGGTACAACATTCCTGGTGGGAAGAAGATATCAGGGGCTTCAATATTCTTCGAGAGCTTGTCATATAAGGTGAATCCACTCACAGGTTACATTGACTATGATAAGCTTGAGGAAAAGGCGATCGATTATCGCCCAAAGATACTGATCTGTGGGGGGAGCTCATACCCACGAGAGTGGGATTATGCCCGATTTAGGCTGATTGCAGACAAGTGTGGAGCAATTTTGATGTGTGACATGGCTCACATTAGTGGTCTTGTGGCTGCCAAGGTTCAAATCCTCTACTTAACCTTGCAAATTTGTCTTTTCATTTTGGCCCTTGGCATGCCAAGTAACTTACAAGATTTCTTTCTATTATTACAATAATGTGATTATGAACTACTTGTTACATGTCTCTACTATTATAGTGCGTGCGAGCTGTGAGGACACTGTCATCCTTATATACAGCTGCACTTAAAGATGGCACCTTCTTAAAAAACCATGTGCATCATTTATCACATCTGTTTTCTTGTATGGAAGTTACCTTTTGGCTGTTACTGTCCTCTTGAGTCCCAATGAAATTTAGATGTTAGATCATGTGCAAGATGAACCTAATATCTTAAGTGATTATAGACTGATAAAAATGAGTTGAAATTTGTTTTTATATCCTGTTAAATTATTTTACTTGTATGTCTTATGGTCTAGTGCTTTTCGAAAATTGACATCTTGAGCTGTAAATCTGTCTTGGCACCGGCTTTTGTGTTGAATGCATTTATGTTTTTTGTTCCTTCAAGTTAATTCAGTAGAAAGTCATGACAGTATAACAAATAATTTCAATATGAACACAACTTTGTTGTAACTGAGATAGGATAATCTTTTGTGTACTCGATTTTAGTTGATTGATAATGATTCTTGTTAATGAGGTTTGCACAACATAAGAGTCGATACAGACAACCAACATAGCTACCTTATCCTAATTACCTAATTTTATTCTGTTAGTACATGTTAGTGTGTGATATATTACATTTGCATTACTTTTTTCTTACTTTTTTTCATTGTTCAGTATTAGCATGTCTTCTGAAACTAATTTATTTTTGCTTAAGGCATGTACTTTTGTTATTTGTTTAGATAAATAAAAGCTTAACATTATTTTGTGCATGGACGGATTTGCAGGAATGCCTTAGCCCCTTTGATTATTGTGATATTGTTACTTCAACAACTCACAAAAGCCTTCGAGGTCCTAGGGGTGGTATAATTTTCTTCAGGAAGGGAAAAATACAAAAGAAACAAGGGGTTTGTCTTGGTCGAACAGATGATCATGGTAGATATGATTTTGAGGAGAGAATAAACTTTGCTGTTTTCCCATCGCTTCAAGGGGGTCCTCATAATAACCACATAGCTGCTTTAGCAGTAGCTCTAAAGCAAGTAGCTACACCTGAATACACAGCATATATTCGACAGGTCAAGAGAAATGCTCAAACATTGGCATCTGCTTTACTAAGAAGAAATTGCAAGCTGGTTACTGGGGGCACAGACAACCATTTGTTAGTTTGGGATCTCAGAACTTTTGGATTAACAGGTACTCAAGAAGACTTATGCAGTCTTCAGGCGTGAAAAAAATTTTCTTAGATATGTTAACGTTTGCAAATAAATGATTTAATAAATAAATAAAATCAAAAATAAAAACCAAAATTTTGTGAAACTGAAAAATTGATTTATTAAAACTGCCTTGTACTTCTCAAGTTACAGATCAAAGTGCAAAATTGCTTCCTTAAAGATACAAGGGATTTATCTTTTCTGACTATCATTTGGTTTTTGTTGCGTTGCATGTACTCTCTTTCTTCAGATTCATGAATTATAACTACTGCACTATACTGGGGTTTGGATGATTTTTGACAAACTAACATAACTTGACTCGGTGGGATGGAAATCTTTTGAGGCTCGGCTTAATTGTGTTATCCATTAATTTGGTAGTTTGAATTCTTTTTTGTGGCTTTAGGTCCGTAAGCAAAGTTATGTGATCGTTGAGAGGATATATCTCTTCATTGTGATATGTTGCTACCAAGTACCAACTAAAGAATTTTATCTCTTAAAGGAAAATAGGAGATATATTGCTATATTACAGAATTAGTGGTTGCATAGAATATACCTTGGGGTTTCTGTTTTTTAAATCTGAATGGTCCTTTTATGTTGGAAATGCCATTTTGAGGAAATAGATTGTTCTCTGACATGAGCTGCCAAATTGTTAATACTTTGTAGTGCTTTTCTTTAGTTATTTTTTTTGTTGCAGCTAGTTCTTTACTCATGCGGTTCAACTTGCAAATATATTGGTTGACTTTGCTTAGGAGACACAATTGCGTGTCGTGGAGTTCTTTAGACCACTCTGACCAGAATTACATCTTTACATTTAATTGAACATATGTCAACTATAAGTCCTGTACTGGTCATGGAAGATATTTAGTCCTTTGTTATGGAATGTCATCTAATGAAGATGTTTCATCAAGGAAAACATGATTGGACGAATCCCATTTGATGACTTTTTTAAACTATTTGTGGGAAAAGGAGACTAAGATATTTTAGATTGCAGGCTTTTTTAAACAATTGTTTTGATGCAATAAAAATGCTTTTATTTTATACTAACCTTGGCATGTGCATGGATGGGCTTAATGAAAAGCACAATAAAGTGCAAAAGTTGAAGGATTTAAAAATAATAATAAAATTGAGAAGTATCCGCCAAGTAACCTAAGAATATCCTGTCTTATTAATTATTATGTAAAGTTTTGGATACTTTGGGACCAGCATTTATCGGGTATATGGGAAGCATTCAGTATCATATGTGATGTATTTGGTACCAACAGGGCAAATAATTAATGTACCTGTATTACACAAACTGTTATGAAATGCTCTGAATGTGTGTACTTTAACATGTTTTTCGTATAAAAATATCCATGTCAAATAATGTGAAATGGCTACTGAATCTGCTAAGTTACAACAGGATTGTTTTCTACTAATCAAGAAATTCCTTGCTCGAGATAATTCTGTCAGTTGGATCAAATAATGGACCCCCTACTGTCACTAAAATTACCAATCATGGATTCGAAATAATGATAGAAAATATTGTTTCTTTGCTTTTTCAATCACCTAGTTTGAGATCTTCGTTTGAATGCACCTGTGGAAGATAGAATGTTTTCGGTAGCTATAGAAGTAGGTTTAGAAGGGGCTTTTTCTGGCAAGAGATTTTAGCATTGACATGGAACACATCATTTTTTTTAAAGATTATTTGATCAAACTGTAGCTGAACCAGGATTAACGTATAAGTTGTAAGATATCATATGAGTTCAAACCCTAGGTTTTAATGGAACAATAATTGATTCTTTCTCAATCAGTAGCAAATTCTGTGGTAGGCATTTGATGTTCTTTTTCCTGATTATATGCCTAATAGCTTTTTAAGCTGTAACACATAGAGCATATGTGGAAATTACAAGATTTGCTATCGTCTAGAAATACATAACTTACATCAAAGAGGCCACTTCAATAGGCTAGTTATCGAGAGCCATAATTTGTCGAGAAAGCTTTTCCCATCGAGCTTTTCTTTTATCAATACAGGACATTTGTGTGCTTATTCTGATATACTCCTTGAAGTATTTTTATTAGAGACATGTTTTTGTACTGAGAGTAATATCCTGAAACAGGTAAGAACTTTGAGAAGGTCTGCGAGGCATGCCACATTTCTCTGAATAAGACCCCGATATTTGGTGATAATGGTACTATCTCTCCGGGAGGTGTGAGGATAGGTGACCTCTCTCATGTTTTTCATTATGAAACATGTAGATTGTGGTTGTCGCAAAGATTTTAAATCACCTGTTGTTGGTTTGCATGGTTAGGTACTCCTGCTATGACGACAAGAGGCTGTTTAGAAGGAGATTTTGAAATGATTGCCGACATTCTCCTACGGGCAGCACACGTAGCAAGTACCATACAGAAAGAACATGGAAAGATACAGAAGGAGTTTCAGAAGGGCCTCGAGAGCAGTAGGGACGTTATCGAGCTTCGCAACCAAGTCGAGTCCTTTGCCATACAGTTTGCAATGCCGGGATGTGATGTCTAAGAGAACTTGGTTTTACTGCCATAACTTATATGGTAACCCTCTTCAAATACTTCCCATTTCCTTTGTTCACTTCCTTACTGTACAAAACAGGCCACCATTTACAATCCAGTTTGATGATAGATGCATATTGTTTTGTGAAGTTCAAAATCTTTCCATCTCTACGCCTTGCATTCGTTGGTTGATCCTCATCTTGTTCTGGAAATGAATAGCCTTGCACTATGTAACGCTGCAGATCCTTTCGATGTTCATTATCACCGTAAAATTGCGTGCATAATAATTTATACATGTTTAATTATTTAAAGCAAATACTCAACGCAATATTAACAAATAGCGCCCGTGGCCTAATGGATAAGGCGTCTGACTTCTAATCAGGCGATTGTGGGTTCGAGTCCCACCGGGCGTGCTAATGTTTTTTTTCGTTTTGTGTTCCTCGACTGAAAAGGCGCGACATCATCGTCGCGTTTCAAAGGCAATCTTCCCAAAAGGTTCTCAGAAGAACCAGTTAGATGCGACCTCCACTTCATCCCTGACCAAGAAAGAGCCTCTAAAGGGCGAGGAGAAGGAGGCCGAGCTCCTGCTCGACGCAGAATGGTGCGGAGATTCGAAGATGCTTCTCTTGTTGTGCTTCTCCTTGCGCTTCAGTGCTGGAACCGGAAAGCAGCCCGGTGGGACGGAGGTCACCTTCGGTGCAGCAGCAGGCGCTTTGGACGGTCGGCGAGTCGGATCGCTCCGCCGCTTGGACGGCGAGGCGGACGCCGAGCGGTAGAAAATGCTGGCAGTTGCCTTCGAAGGCGAAGGGGATGACGGAGAGCTGAGTCTGGAGGGTTGCCGCGAAGCCGAGCGCGTCAGGGACTGGGGGAGAGGAGGTGAGTGAGCGTTGGACTGGGAGCGAGATGCCGACAGGGAGCGCGACCACTGCGGTGAGAGTGAAGGCGGTGTCATGCAAGGAGGTCGGCTGAGCTTGGACGTCGGCGGCGATGGAGCAGCAGGCGTTGGTTGATGCTGAGGCTTCGGAACGCCGGGTCGGATCTCCCACTGGAAGGGGATTCTTCCGGGCCGCTTGAAGGAATCGTCCATGATCGATCGCTTCTCCTCCCTCCCTCCTTCAACCCCACGCTCCTTTCTGCAGGCGACTACTTATGGCGGTGGGCACGAGCGGTGGCTCTGATGGCGAGATTGAAGACCGGTGATTGGGCAAAAACGTGGTGGTGAGTCGAAATTTCCATCCGAGTTATTGACTTGGATAGGTGAAGACAAAGCATGTTGACGGAGGGAGGCATGCATGCTTAGAATATGGCACACAAGGAGGCTGAATTGGTGCAAGAGTTCGGCCAGATTAGTTCGTCGACCGGTTAATTGCTACCGAACACGTTTCCTTCGGCAATCTCCTCACCGAAAAGATCATGCAGAGAAAGAGAAAGCTTCAGTTTGATCAGCTGATAAAGACATTAATAATTTAACATAAGCTTCTTCTAATCATCATTTACTCTTAAAAATTAATTGTTAATGAAAGACCTGATTATGGAGTAGTTTTGGAATCGACAGTCTTAGTTTCAAATCAAAACTTATTATTTTTTAAAAAACTTTTTATTAATATTAAATTTTATTTTTTAAAAACTTTTATCGAAGTTTATACAATTAAAATATATAATGATATAAATTAATGTTTCAATTATTTATTCGATTAATAGATCAAATAAATCATTATTATCTTCTCATATGATTTTTTCTTGAATTCTTTGCTAATATATTAACGTTGATAATATAATTTTAAATTAAAATTTTTTTTTCTTAATATATATATATATATATATATATATATATATATATATAATACAGTATTGTATCGGTGTTTCGAAGTTGGTTCGGTACTGTACGGTACCGACATACCGAGCGGTATATCAGGTATATCGAACAGTTTATATA